AGAGGTGCAGACGACGATGGTAACATTGTTGCTGGCGCTGTCATTTGAGATAGTTGTGACGTACACATAGCTGTCGGTACTGGTGATAGCTTGTGTAGATTGCGCTTGTAAAAATTTAATAGTTGTTTTTTGGTGGAGTCCGGATCTGTTGAAATGTTGAGAGTTCTTTCTAATGCCGTGCGTAAAACCTGTTTCTCAAGTTCCTCATCTGATTCTTGTGATGGACTGGCGGCTCGTTGACGTTTTGAATCGTTATGATGCGCGCATGATTTGCGACGTTTAGAACGTATTGCTGGCATGAATTCAAGACTAACCAAGGTGTACTGTTAAAGTTAAATAAAATTCATTAAACTAACTAAAACAAGAACTAAACTGATGAAGGTTGCTTAAACTAAGTTTCTTCTCACTATTTTTTTTTTTTATATTCGTCATCAGGAGCCCAAGTTGTACTAGTTCTGTTACTCTCGAACAATCCGGATAAAGTCGACGTAAATGTGGTACGTTTCCGAAAGAATCACCCAATTAATATTAGAATGATTATTATTAAAAATACTAAATCAAACGTTAATGCCCATTTCCGCTCATAATCACTTGCACTTTCACCTTCGAATATTTCTCTTGGTGCTGTTGGTAATGTTTGTTCGTGTTTAATGAGCAATTCCATCTATAAAACATATCACAATTCATGTCAACTTTCGACACGAATGATGAGATCTATGAGAGATTAGTTAATCTTGATATTCCGATGTTCCTCGTAAGATATTTCAATCGCAAATTCTAAAGTCACTACAACAAGTCTTCGCATTTTGTCGAAGACTTGCTGACATTTCATACCTAGGAGCGTATATTTATGTGTGACACATTTTCCAAGGGAATATCTGATCTGTAATAGCAATGACTTAAGACAGACAACGATAAGATATTTGACCGTAAGAAAGAAAGGAACAAACAAACAGAATATACTCTACCTTTTTGCTTCCTTTCTGCTTCTCTCAGCACATCTCAGCATGACATCTTCAAGTATGGAAGACAGTTACGATTGAAGTCAGTGACAATGAACAGATCGAACACAAGAATGAAGAATAGTAACTTTTAGTAACTCGGTGACTAACAAGTACTTTTTTGAACTGTATGTTCGTTCTGTAACAGACAAACGCGTTTTTTGCTGAATATTAAAAAAGAATGAAACTTTCATACACAAAAATTGTTTAAAAAACGCAAACATTCCATGAACAAAACGATGGACATAGACAGAAAAAAAGTTTTGTCCATGGACAAAAACAAAGTGTTCATGCAGGCCTCTACTCTTCAACCGCTCGTTCTTATTCTATAGTAGGTATGCATCGATTGATAATCGATGTCAGAGCATTCAAGAAAATTGTTTTGAATCGTTTATAAAATATCTCTTAGAACTACCGAATATCTCATTTTGTAGAGAAATGCTTCCTCCACAAAAAGCAAAATGTGAGAAAAGTTTTACTGTTAGTAGAGAAAATACAATAAATCGGAAACGCAGAAGAATAATTGATGATCGATTATTTTTTCATGATTTTGCGCATTTTTGAATGCTTGTATTACTGTTACAAATAACATTAAAACTTTTTTAATCTGTCGCTTTTTGTAGAGGAAATATTTCTCTACAAAATGAGTTCGGCAGTTCTAAGAGATATTTTATAATCGCTTCAAAACAATTTTCCTGAATATTCTGACATCGATTATCAATCGAGCATACCTATTCTATAGATAGGCCAAATCAAAATTAGATTCATCAACTTTTATCTAGTCACATACATAAACTTTCTTCGAAATTCATTAAAAATAAGGAGGGAGAAAAGTTTGTTCTTTTATGTTAGGCGCATTCACTCTAGAATTCCAATTTTACATTTATAGCACTTTTATATATACACGTGTTCAGTAAAGTGAAAGCGCATAGCTCAAATATATCTGTGATATATCCGAGATATATCATATCAGAAATTTCCTTTCTTTTTCTATCTTAGCAGTTCTCGGCAAATATGACGCACATCTCATCGCTGTATGAAGAACGTAGAAGAGATGTAAACACATGCCTAGAAGTGAAAATAGAGAAAAAGAAAGGAAACTAAAGACTAGGCTTGAGTACCCAGACTTGTTCGAGCAATAGCACTGATCCAGCTATACCCTTAAATTGTGGTGCATTTGTAGAGATAGCTAAATGTGTTCTGATAAGCACCCCATAAGATCTGTGGTCTCTGGCAATTATTTTGACTTGAAAATGAGTTGAATAGTCAGTTTGAAATACATATTTATCTCGAGCTGATATAGGTTTAAATTCGACCTTGCTGAAAGAAAATGATGAAAAATAGCTGCAGTAAAACGATACACTATAAAATTTGTTAAAAAATATCTGCCATTATCAAACAAGATTTATCTTTGGTTTTTGAAAGATAGCTCAAATCTTGACTATCGAATGGTGAAAACCGCAAGTATCTATCTTTATTTGATACTGC